TGTCAGTCCAAGATTTTTAGTTGATTTGAATCTCTCAAAATATGCTTTAGGTTGTAGAACCAGGCTGGAGTTTGCAAACTGCTTTTAATCCACTATGTTAACATAGAACTTACCAAGAGAAAGATAAGGTAATAAAAACATGCTAAATACACTTTGTCATGTCTTAATGATAAAATTGCTGCCTTTCATTGAACATCTCTTAACCTGGATTTTTCAGCTCTCTGTTTAGAGAATTAGAGTGTTGGGTTCCTGTATAAGTCAGGTGAGCATTTAAAGACAGAGAATAAGTAGAAAAGATTTTCTGATATCAAGAGGAAAAAAGGTAGCCATTAGACAAAGATGACTAGTAATCAGAATGCTGTTTCTACTATCATTGCAAGTTCTTTCCAGCAAGTACTCCAAATGACCTTTTGTAATGAAATTTTTGTTAAAATAGTTATTCTTCAAATCTTAAAAAAATATAGATAAAATTAATTGTATCTTATCACCCTAGTAACTCTTATTTTGATTAGCTAAACACCAAATTCTTAGACAACAGGAGTGATGTTTCTGTTCTACCTAATTGAAAATATGGAGTTAAACTTGGACTGATTAATGCCTGATTAATTCTATAGGCACTCAAATTTCTGCCTCTGTTTATGTCCACAGCAGTCAGTGTTTCAGCAAGGTGGATCAATTTGGTAGATATATTCCAGTTCAGCTCCTTTGGGATCCTTACATGAGTCATCTCTGCTTTCCTCAGTCAATCCCTCTCTCCTGGTAAGGTCTCTTAACTCTCTCAGAGTAAGTTCAGCATATCAATAAATCAGCTTCTCAGGAAAAAGCTTTGTGCTAACTGCTTTCCCTGAAATGGATAATAGGAAGAAGAGGACGTGGTGGGGATACTCTTCTAGAGACTGCTGTTTTTACTCCTTCAGGAAGTGAAAAAGTTGGAGTTTATGGCAGCCTCACCAGCCAGAATCACAGGATGACAGAAGGATGGAGGTTGGAAGGAACATCTAAAGGTCATCTTGTCCAATTTCCTGCTCAAACAGGGTCACGTAGAAGAATTTTTTCACATTTCTTATAACCTCATAGTCTATTCCAACATACTAATTTATATTTACATTTCCATGTTGACCCATACGTCTGTTAACATATCTTCTCAACACCAGCTGAGTTGGCTGATCTTTTTTAACCCAGTAAGCAGACTAATTCATTATGGAATACAAAATGAGTTCATATCTGAGTAATAGGGAAATATCTGTAGTTTACTGTTAAGTAACATTGAATTTTATTAAAAAAGCACCATTTCAAGTGCTGAGAAGTGGAACAAACTGAATCAGAGAAGCTGATTGTGCCAAGAATTCAAGTGATTCCATTCAGTCAGCTTTTCCAGCTTAAAACATGTTTTCTAAGTTTTCATGGTTTTAACCTCTTAATTGTAGACAAATTTGTCATCTCAGCACAGTTGCAGGTGTTTTTTACATTATTTAATTTCAATAGAATCAATCCACATTTGTATTTTACTTTTAACTGAAACATGTATAATACGAACATGTTAGAAATCAGTATATTTTAAGTCCTTTCAAAGACGTATTGGATATAATGAATTCTTTATTTCTCACAGAGTAAGGTTTGATCATTTTGTTAGTGATTGGTCTGGACTCACAGACCATAAAATCATAGAATCACAGAATGGTTTGGGTCAGAAGGAAACTTTAAAGGTCATCTAGTCCATCTCCCCTGCAATGAGCAGGGACATCTTCAGCTAGATCAGGTTGCTCAGAGCCCCGCTCAACCTGATCTTGAATGCTTCCAGTGATGAAGCATGCACAACTTCTCTGGGTAAGCTGTTCCAGGGTCTCACCACCCTCATAATAATTTTTTTTTCTGTATGTCCAATCTAAATCTGCCCTCTTTCAGTTTAAAATTATTGCCCCTTGTCCTGTCACTACAGGCCTTCGTAAAAAGTCTCTCTCTATCTTTCTTATAAGTTCTCTTTATATACTGAAAGTCTGCAGTAAAGTCTCCCTGGAGATCTCCCAGTTCTTCAAACTGAACTGCCACAACTGTCTCACCCTTACCTTATAGGAGGGATGTTCCAGACCATTGACTATTTTCGTGGCTTCCTCTGGACCTGCTCCAGCAGTTCCATGTCTTTCCTGTACTGAGTACCTCAGAGTTGGATGCAGTACTCCAGGTGAGGTCTCACAAAAGTGGAGTAGAGGGGGCGAATCACCTCCCCTGACCTGCTGACCAGGCTTCTTTTTATGCAGCCCAGGATACAGTTGGCTTTCAGGGTTTTGAGTGCACAGTGCTGGCTTATATCCAATTTTTCATCCACCAGTACCCCTAAGTCCTTCTCCACAGGGTTGTTTTCAATCCACTTGTCCCCCAATCTATTTTGATATTAGGGATTGCTTTGACCCAGATGCAGGACCTTGCATTTGCCTTTGTTGAACTTCATGAGGTTTGCATGGGCCCAGTCCTTAAGCCTGTCGTGGTCCCTCCGGATGGCATCTCTTCCCTCAAGTGTACCAGAACTCTGTAGTGTCTTCTGCAAAGTAAACAGAGGATTTTACTTTTTGTCTCTGTCTTAAATTTTCTTGCAAAAAAAATTCTTAAAGAACATTGAGAATTTCTCAGAACTCCAGATGCTGCCCTCTAATAAAAGCAGCTGACCTTTAATTCACTGTTTTACTTTTCTCGAGATGTAATTCTTAATATATGGCTTCAAAACACACAGTAAAATGCAAACCCCATTTAATTAGATACTTGAGTACAACACAGTCAATTAAGAAAGAACTGAGCATATTAAAAACCTTTAAAACCAAATCTAGTAATGCAAATAAGCACCTAGCCTAAGTATTACAATTAGCAACCAAGTATACATTTTCCTAAATTCCAATAGGTGTACATCGTCTTAATTAATTTTTTTTAAAATATCAAGATCAGTTTTGAACATTACACAGCATTCTTTATTGTCCTGCCAAATAATCTTTTATGTTAGGAGACAAAATACTTGCAAAAGAGAAACATCTTAACATAAACTACTCTTCTTCATTACCAAATGTCACTAGTCACACTACATTACTTTGTTCTTCTCCAGACTTTAGTACTTTGGCAAAACAAGCAAGTATCATATAAGAAATACTTTTTTTGTCAGTCTGCTATAGATGATGGGTTTTATTTCTGTTTTACCCCTAGCAATCTGAGCATTTTAAAATGCTTTTGCAAATATTTTTGCAAATATAGCTAAGGATTAACAAACTGACACTCAACAAAGTTTTGTATCTTGAAGTCAATTGGAATTTGATGGATGAGGGCTTTTAAGCTCAAGCAAATAGAAATGTTAATGAAGCAGCTTTTTCTCTGCATCGTGGTAAGGTAGTACATTTTAGGCTTGCAAAATGAAGTCCAATTCCACATCCAGAAGCACAGGTCAAGTGAAAAAGGATGTGATTTACAACTGGACAAGAAAAACCTACTTCCCTATTACTGCAAAATGCAGCTATTTCAGCTGTGAAGCCACAGCTGTCCCTAGGGCTGAGAAGTGGGTACTTGAGCTGTATGACTCAAAGTCTCCCCCTTCATTCAGTCCTGTAGTGCTGAGCACATGGAGACACCTTCCACCCTAACACATCATATTCTGTATTAGCAGGCTTCCTATGTAACAAAGCACTCTGTGGCTTGGATTTATTTTTGTTTTTATTTTTTTTCCTTCTCTTCTTTTATCCATCAGGTGTTCACAGAGTAGCCATAAATGCTTAGTTCACTTTCTTTGTCTCTTCTTCTTTTTTTTTTTCTTCTGACAGGTGAGAAGCCAGGGACAGAGCAAGATGAAGTCAAGCTGCAGAATGCCAGCAAGCAGATTGTGCAGACTGCTATCCTCCGAGCGGTGCAGCAAGTTTCCCAGGAGAGCCAGCAAAAGGAGAAGCGAACAAACAGCAGTACAAGCCTCCAACTGGAAAGGGGAAAATTAACCAAGAAACATGAAAAGAAGTAAAGGAGAAGATTGGGGTTTTTTGACCCTCCAGTCTGCAGTGTTTTCAGCCTTCTCTTTAGTAGCAGCTGTATTGCTAGTGCAATGTTACTGTCGTAAAGCAAACCAAAGTATAATCACACCTAGATATAGGGTAAAGCTGCAATAGTCCTCAGCTGAGAAATACTAAGTGCATTAGATGACTAACTCCATATTTATGCAGTGCCTCTTAACAGAAACAATAATCATAGCTATAAAAGTAGTTTCAAGCACAAGCTCTTATGGTATGGACTTATTCTCAAGATCTTGTTGTCCGTGCACTTTCATGTAAGTTCTGCGTGCAACCTTTATCTCAGTTCAGCCAGACAGACTCTTTTCTGACTTACTGGGTTCACTGAAGCTGTCTTCACTGAAGAAATAGTTTACTGTCAAGAGTAGCAGAAAGCTTTCAGGCTGCCTTGAAGCGTGAGCAAGTACTTTGCTTTGATTAAACATGGATTATGTGAAATGGTAGTATAAAGTGGACTTGGTAAGTTCTGTGAACCAATTTCTTTTTTCATCTTGGGGAAAAAAAATGCAATCCAGTCAGACTGCAGTGACTGTGATCTATAACTGTGATCTATGACTGTGATCATAAACCTATGATCTGTCTTTTTTTAAAGTATTTAAAAGAAGTACTGAAGTTTTAGTCTACTTATTTGAAATAGTTCTATACTTCTGCATAAAAATCACTTGTGCCTCGACTATTCCTTTTAATTTTCTTGATTCTGAAAGAGGAACTGTTGTGCTGATAGGAAGTTTGCCATCTTTTCCTTCAGTTTTGCAAGTTTGCTGGGATTGATTTACATAAAGTGAAGACTCAAGTGGTTTAAAAACAGTGTTTGAATTTATTACTATTTTGAAGGATGGAAATATACTGTATCTGATTGCTGTAATGGTAGATATTTCTCACCTGCTGAGCATAAAGTGACTTCAGATATTTGCAATTGTTACATAGATTCACCTTAAAGAGCACTGCTTCAAGTTGGTAATATAGAACTTATCCTTTAACTGCTCTATGTAGCAGAAAAAATCCGTGATGTTTCTGAAAATACAAATTAAATAAATGTAGCTTTCACTTTTATGCTCCCTTACTGTAATGATGATTGCACTATTATACATCTGAAATGAATAACAGTATTTTTAATTCTAGAAATTGCTTGTAGCTCTGCTTCAACTGAATTCTTGTAGTAATACACCTAGAAATATAGAGAAGCAGATGCACAGGATCTACGAAGAAGGAGACAAACTTTCATAATTGCTTTTCTATTCAGTTAGATGAGTCTCAAAGAGACTTTCTGGTTTAAGTAATTGGCTATTACTTACTGTGTCCTACTGCTTGTGTTCTACAATTTCAGAATTCTTTCTCATGGCTGGAGGCTTAGTCATGAATAGTCACATACTGTAATATTAAACCTTTGAAATCTGCTTGGTTCCTTGTTTTTTTTTTAATTTAGCAGCACTGACTAATACCAGATAATGATTTAGTTCAATCTTCTTTCATTTAAAAATGCGAAGAAGAATTTGACATGATTAAAGTTGTTCTAAATCCTCTAATAATGAAAAGTGAAAACAGCTGGTTCACATCTATAGGCAATGGGTGAATTTTCCCAACCAAGCAAACTTTGAAAGGTGGAAGTAGTTCAGTCTTGAGGTATGTGCAAGTTTGTAGTAATTTTTTTACCACTAGCTGTTTCATCAGTTGGCCTTTTGTCAGAAGGTAGCTCTTTTCTAAGCACTCTTTGCATCTTTGCTTTTTGAGAGCCTAGAAAACTAATCATGAATCAAGGTTCAATTCTGAGGCTGATGAGCAGATAAGTCTAGTAGATGAGGGAAAGCAAGACTGTTGGAGAGACTCTGTAGTGAAAATTGTGTTTGCCATGAACTTGCCTACAGTGATGTAGGAAGGAGAGTTACGGGACAGTAAAATCCCCATTTATCTGGGATAGTTTCCTTCCTTTTAATGCTTTTTGTCCTCAGAAATTTACAAATTGTCTTTTTCTTATTACTATTTTAACAGTCTTCATATAGTCTGGAAACTTGTTTGCACGTCCAATATTTTTAAAAAATCATTATGTTAGAAAAAAGAGGAATTTAAAAAGCCAGTAAATCCAGGCTTTTACCATCACTTCATATAAGCCTATTCCAGTCCTCCTTTCATTGTGCTCTTCTACAATATGCCTTTATTGTCCTAGCCCTTTTAGACACAGTATTAGTCAACCATTAAATCATGCCTATCATTTTCAGTGCTGTCAGAAGTCTAATATCTTGGAGAGAGAAAAATTATAGGAAGCCTCACAGAGCCTTGAGGAAGTTTTCTATGGTTTCCTATTGAGGAAAAACAAATAGTGTAGTGTAAATAGTGTAGTTTTCCCTGAGAGCCAAATAATGCGTGTCCTATCTATAAAATATATCCCTAAATTAAGGTATGCATTTAGTATCTTCTATTGACAAAGGGTATACTGCACACCACTTGCATCCAGGATATGTGCTTGAGATCTGTACCGCATGTGAGAGAACTGCACAAATGAAAACTTTACCCTTGGCCTGTTGTATGCTTACTACATGGTGAAAACAGTTATTTTTGGTATCTTCACTGACAGATTATATTTTCTGGAGAAAATACAGACTATAGAAATTGTTACAGATGTGATGCAGGTCTGATTACAAATAAAGAAACTCTTAATACCTTATATGTCTCTGGTTTCTCTTGTCAAAAGAAGAAATTTTCAGATTCACTAGACAATCATATGAGGCAAGAAATATGTTCATGTGGTTTGTAGTAATAAATGCATTAATCAGCACAATAATTCATATCTTAAAAGTCCAAGACAATGAACATGGCGTCTATATGTATTTAAAACAAACCACCTTTTAGTACTTATGGTAAGTAGAAGGATGCACAAACATGTGAAAGTATCTTATCACAAATCTTTTAATGAAAAAGAATCGAGTGTCTGTAGTTATTCTGCACTGTGCTTGCTATGTTTTCATTCAAGTTGATTATTACAATTTTATTACCATACTTGTGCTATTCATTGTAAGGTAATCAAGAAGCAACACCTAAACCGAAATTCACATGGCCACAGCAGGATGGTGTAAGAGATTACTACATACTACTCTTCATAAAGTTGTTGGTTCTGTGTGGTTACACTGGAAGTCGTTGCTCTAAAATGCAAACAAAAAAAAAACGTGTGACTGGAAACAGCCATCTACACTTTAATAATTTTAGAAAAATAAAAGCATTCTGTCATAATATTATAGTTAAGAGTTGGAAATTCTTGAGCATTCATTCAACAGCAAACAATGCATCTAAAAATCTTAATTACTATCTCTAATCTTGTTGTGTCTGATTTTTTTAAGACAATTTTTATGTATTTCAGAATGTAGTATATCTACAATGGTAAGCATATAAAAATAGCTATGTAGCTATTCACAACATGCCTACCATGAAATACTCTGCAGATGTTCCTTAAATGTGTCCTAATGTCAAATGCAGGGGTTAATATGTCATTATCGAAGGCTTTTCTAAAAGAGTTTAATCTAAATTAGGGGAAAAGATAAGAGAAAGTAGAATAAATTCTTGAAAGGATGTAGAATTCACTGTAAGTCTCTTGGTTACCAACTGAGGTCTGACAAAAATTAAATTAATTAAAACCTGGATCTAAAGTCTAATTTCTCTCAACCGGTTCCTGAAACACGGGTCAATTTGTTAAGAGTTTGTGGGAGTGAGAGGAAAAAGTGAGCTCTTGATGTCTTCCTCATCCAACACTCAGTAAGAAGTAAGCAGCAGTACTAATGGTCCCCTGTTTCTAATGGATGGGTTTTCTCTTGTTTGGCTTTTGGTGGCTCGTATGAGAAGCTCTGAAAGAACCTTTTTCCCTATTTTGGGTTTTCCAGAGCAAAGGGCATCTCTGTGGCCTAATAGGTCTTGAATTTGTACTATATCCTGTCTTTCAAAAGGAACAGAAGTAAGATTTCTTTTCTTTTGATTCACAAAACCTGGTGGATGCACATGGGCTTTTTTTTTTTTAAAGAAAGACCACTGTGTCTCCACTGGATTTAGTCAGTGCAAGAATACTGCATCCAGCTTTGGAGTCCCCAGCACAAAAAGGACATTTAAGTGCTGGAATGGGCCCAGAGGAGGGCCACAAAGATAATCCAAGGTCTGGAGCACCTCTTCTACAAAGACAGGCTGAGAAAGTTGGGATTGTTCAGGCTAGAGAAGAGAAGGCTCTGGGAAGACCTTATAGTGACCTTTCAGTACCTGAGAGGTGCCTTTAAGTAATCTGGGGAAGACTGTTCACTAAGGCATGTAGCGATAGGACAAGAGGCAATGGTTTTAAACTAAAAAAAAAGTAGATTTAGGTTGGATATTAGTAAAAAGTTCTTCAATATGAGGGTGATAGATCACTGGAACAGGTTGCTCAGAGAGGTGGTGGAGGCCCCATCCCTGGAGATATTCAAGGTCAGGCTCGATGAGGCTCTGAGCAACCTGATCTAGTAACATTGTCCCTGCTTACTGCAGGGGGTTGGACTAGATGATCTTCAAAGGTCCCTTCCAACCCAATACATTCTATGATTCTGTGAACATGACTAGCAATTTCCTTAATCCTTGAGAATGAATGGACAAGCACACATACTCGCTATGTTTGAGTGCTCTGGAAAACACTAAGAAATAGATATATATTTTAAATGCATTTTCTTCTAAGCTGTTCTTGTCTGCCAGGCAGATTTTCTTTGTTTAATTAACATAAGCAGCTTTTCTTTTTTATTAACTTTTCCTCCAGTGACTTGCTACTTGGATTTTGTTATATGAGCTTGCTAGTTTTAACACTAAAACAAAAATTGTTCATGTTTAGTTTGTGTTTCATTACTAACCTTGTGAAAATACATGTTCCATTGTGGTGTAGCTTTTGTCCTTTCTTTCACTAAAGGTGAATAGCAATAATAAATAAGGTCCTAAAGAAAAGAAGGTGTGGAGTTTTGTTGTTGTGGTGGTTTATGTTGGGTTTTTTTCCCCCCCAGTTGCCTATAGCAGGAGGCCACACAGGTCAGATCATCAGGAATCATTCATATGTGTTTTGACAGTAGCTTGGTGTAGAAATTCTTCTGAGAGAAAATGAACTCATATGAAAGCTGGGAACTAAACCTACCTAGGGTGATTCTAAAACATTAGAGTAAGATACTCCAGGTAGCTTTAAGGAAAATGTTCTATGTGTGCCTTCAGAATTGAAACCCATTTAGAAACACCAGCTAGTGAAGATAGTAATGGCTT